ATGCCCCCGAGGTGGAGCTCCGCATGGGAGCACAGCTGGACGGCACGGTGGTCAAAGAGGGCGCGAGTCTTTACCTGACATGCCACGTGGACGCCAACCCTCCTCCGCACACGCTCACTTTCATGCACGAGGTAGGAATTCAGTGGGTTGGAGAATGACCAGCATTGCAATTGCCGTTACTGTAATTAATTTTTCATTGTTTCTTATCATTATAATTCATTTTCAGTTCTATTCTTATGAGTTTCACTTAATTACTATTTTTACTGTATCAGCGTTGTCGTTTTGTTATCATTATTATTGTAATTGCTATTAATATTTTGTTATTAATTGCAGTTGATTTTGTTTATCATTATTATTATAGATACCTCAAATTTTCGTCATCCTTACTATTAGCATAACGGTTTTTATCATCTTTATCATTATCATCATTATTTTCATCATTCTTATTATTTTTATTACTATATTCATTATTACCTTTTTGTGAGCTATTTTTATTTCTTAATTATCATATTATCATCATCTTGCTCCTCTAGTTGCATTTTTTTTCGTTGTCATTACTGTTATTAAATGATATGTTATTGATATGATCGGATAACATTTTCTACATTATTGCTATAATAACGATGGCAATAACTTTGAAAAATGATAAACAAAATGATCACCAGAATTTTTTCAGCACCTTATGACCAAGAAATCATTACCAATCCATCAATTATCCCTCAATATTTATTTACTATTGTTGGCGGAATGCAGAAAATATAAGAATAAGTGCGCACAAATCACGGTTTTATTTGTTTCCTGCTGTAATTGCAGGACACGGAAGTTCGCCAGGACAAGGCCGCGGGGGTGATGATCAATGTGAATAATTTGGTGCTCAGTAAAGTCAGAAAAACACAAGCTGGGCATTATTACTGCAAAGCTACCAACTCTGAGGGGACTGGTGTTAGTCCGCCTGTGAATATAACTGTGCGTTGTAAGTATGTTCAGTTGTTGTCAGCGTGATGTTTACATGTACAGTTCATGAATTTCCTAAAGGTTATCTTCCCTGTCCGTGTATCGCCCGTCCCTGTGCCCCGCCCGCAGACGCTCCCGTGTGCGCCGAGGCCAAGGACGTGTGGGCGGAGCCGGGCAACACGGTGACCGCCCGCTGCCGCGTGAACGCCTCGCCGGAGGACTCGATCTCGTTCTCATGGGTGTGGGTCACCAACTCGTACACCCGCCGCGTCATCCCTTCGCACATCACTTCCGAAGGCTCCGCGTCCAAGGTGGAGTTCACGGTGCCTCGGGACAACATTACGGAGCTGGGATCCAACAACAGGATGGGCGCCCTGCAGTGCTGGGCCGAAAACTCCGTGGGCCGCCAGGACACACCCTGCATCGTCGCCGTCAGGAAGCCAGGTGAGCGGGTAAAGCCTGTTGTTTGATATAAATATATGATTTTATATAAACGCATACCGACAATCTTACATAAAAATGTAAACAAAAACATGTGCGTCTGCACACGTATCTTTATACGCGTGCTTGCATGCATTTTGGTTTACATGCGCGTGATCTAGCCTAGTTTACCTGCAAGCAGTGTGATTGCTTAGGCGAAAAGCTCTGACCCGGCGCTTCTTCCCGCCAGCCCTGCCGTCGGCGCCGGTGAACTGCAGCCTGACGGGCGCGGGGCGCGAGGTGGTCACCGTGAACTGCGAGCCGGGCGACCACCCGTCGATGCCGCAGACCTACCTGCTGCAGATCTACGAGACCAACACCAAGAAGCTCTACCGCAATGTCACCAGTAAAACGCCCAAGTCAGTATGCCGCAGAATTTACTAGAACTTATTATGTTGACACACACACACACACACACACACACGCACACGTAGACAAATATACATTCTGCATGTATTATGGATTTGTTTATATATTGTAAACTCGAGCTGTGTGTTTGTCTGTCTGTCCATTTGAGGGCTTCTATCACAAAAAAGCGAAACTTGGTATTGACTTTAAGCCAGTTGCAGTGGTTCGAAATTTCTGAAAGTGTCAAACAAAATAATCAGCCAACCATTATATTACTAATAGCTTGTCGAAACGCAAACGAAATACACACAAAAGTCTGCGGATCGAGCTAGCCATGTTTAACGTTCTCTGAACTGAACAATTCGAAGCCTACTAACACCAAGGCAGGACGTCGTCAGGATTCCTCCTGTGTTTCGGACGATTTTATGGGAGTAAACCCCTCGAGCTGGGTCGTCCTTATACCCAGAGTGTGAGTGGTGTGTGTGGGTGTATCGCCACCAAATTGTGTCGGATATTAATGTCAAGGCAAGTAGAAAAAGAGCTTAATGAAAATTATGAATACCGTGTAATGCCGAAGTAACAAGGTGTTGTACGACGTGCCGTTGGTGAGGCCAGGGGGTGTGTGTGTGACAGCACATGACCTGGCGCTCGCAGGGGATAAATCACCTCAGCGGTGGTTGTCAGCCATCTTCTTGCTGCCCTACCAAGGAAGGAGAAGACGCTGTCGGGGTCTCCGCACTTCCAACTACCCCTTCAACAGCCCATTCTATGGGAGGGATTGATTCCACTGACCACAGGGACATGAACAATAATTCACAATAATCCGATGCTGACGACTACTGATTCTAACTTGTTAAGACAAAAAAGAAGAAAATGAAGGCAGCATCATGTGACTCTAGTAACTTGACCAACAACTCAGCCAGAAAAAGGACCAACCAACGCGAACCCATTGCCCCTGGGACCAATGCTTCTAACTAGCTTTTCCTGAGAATGTGTGTACGACAGAAAAAATCAGATGGTTGAGGGAGGTCAGCCAGCCACTGCCCCTCCAAGAGCAAGGTCTGCTGGACATCGTGCAGGGTAATGGCGATCCTCTCACTAGTCTGCGTCCGGGATCAAGGAGACTACGTGGACCTGATGCTTAATACCAGGAACAGAGAGGCTATCAGCCAAGAAGCAAAAGAAAAGAGAATATCTAGTTGCCCAGATCCCGAAGGAGGCCCTGCAGATGAAGTAATGCACCTTCTGGGAGTTTTTAAAGCTCAGAGGGCCTATAAGGTCGGACAACCCCTAAACAGGACCATTATTGCATGGAGCAGAGAACAGCTGCCGCATACGGAATATCATTTCTTTGGAATGTACATAGAGCTGAGCTCTATTCAACCGTGGATCTCAGAAATTATGTCCTGCTACAAGTGCCAGGGCTATGGCCACGTAGCTAAATATTGTAGGAAGGAATCGGCTTGTGCTGCCTGTGCAGAAGCTCACAAGACAAAGGATTACCCTGCAAGAAACAACGAAAAGGACAACGGTAACGAAGACGTCGTCACCACTGTGAGGAGGTATGGAGAGCAAGGTGTGCCACTGTAACTGCCACATCAAGGCACCACACGCACACCCAAACTTGTCACGACCATCCTCATCGACGCCAGCAGAATGGTAATGCCCAGCCAGCTACACCCCACCAGGTGCCGTCATCAACCCACAGGAATTCCCGCAACTGCCATGGAGGTGAGGGGTCCCCGTCACAGGAAACAGTGCCACAGAAGTAGCCAACTGTGAAAAAATTAAGAAAATGCATGAGAAAATAAGAAGCCTCAGGTAAGATCTTGCTGAACTGAAAAAAAGTTAAAGGAGAGAGAAAGTGATAGTGTATATAGGAAAATCATCCTTCTTAATGATGTCAGTGACATTGAAAATATGAATGAGGGCTCTAATACTGCTGCTAATATATGATACCAGGAACGAATCATATGAAAAAGGTGATGACAGTTGAAATAACGCAGACGTAGTTGTGCAGGAAATGGAAGATTTGTGAGAAAACTCACATGAAATAATAACAAGGACAAATTATAATTATTATATCAATAAAGGGGATATACGCAGATCCTTTGCAAATAAGTAAGAAGCAACATATGTAAGGCTATACAGGACATATGCAAATAACGTGCTTCATCAAACAAAGATATGATCATTCAGCGTAATAGGGAACAAAAAAAACAATTACCTTTCTATAATGGCATATACCTAGTGTCAAATGTAGAATTATCGACTTGCTTTACTATAATCATAATAAATACGTTCACATTATCTGTTTACAAAAGCCCTTCACTAAAATAAAAACTGTCCCTAGAATTATACGAACAAGAACAACAGGCCTATTGAATTATGTTAGTGACACCAGAGGTAGGATGAAGACTGTGCAGTATCAGCATTTACATATTTGAATAGCCTCTGGATTTTTCACTCTGTACAATGTATATGCAACATTTCAAACTTATTCACTGCCCAACTTTCAGAATTACGACACAATGTGCATGGGAAACTCTAATGCTAGACATACTGCATTTGGAGAAAATCAGTGTAATGAAAATGACGAAAAGCTCAGACATTTTGTGAACAATAGATCCATGAGAGTATACGGTACAGACAGGGAAACTTATGTAGTGGGGGCAGATTAAATGATGTAATGAAATAGGAAGGGATTTTGTGCATGGTAACATCAGAAGTATGCTTGCAACAGAGCTAATCAGTGACCATTTTGCAACAGTAACGGAATATGCTGTTAATAGCTAGTCTGCAAAAACAAATTATTTCTTTTCCTGCTTACCTTGAACATCGATTTAAATCACACATTTACAAGTAACAAGAGTTGATAAATTTTCTATGGATAAGTTAGAAATGGTCACTGATGACTAAAGCACCTGGTCTGTTAAAAAAAAAAAAAAAAAAATCAAACCAAACAAAGTGGGTCGATGACTCTTCATTATTTAGGGAACAAGAGTGAGTTCAGGAGCTTATCTACAGGCAAAACAATGCCTGTAACAACCTTATTGAGTTTTTTGTCTAACCAAAATTATAAGGGAATTTAATACTAATAAAGAAAGGAAGACTTTGAACAGTTCCTATAAAGCATTGATAATCACAGCTCAATATGAGGTTTGGAAAAAAGTCGACTTTCAGGCAAACCAATTAATACTCTGCAGCTTCCAAGTCCTCTTGCACAGACAGATATGCTCCTTAGTCAGTCTGCTGGAGCTTCCAAGTTGAGCTCACTTCCTACAAATGTTCAGAATCACTTTAGTCACTCTGAAATTTCACGGATGTGGTATAGAAATTGGATGTTCGGATACCGAACTTTCAGACTTTGCTGAGACTACTGAATACTGACCAATGCATTTAGCAAAGGCATGGCATCTGCCTCAGGTGAAGATGGAATGAGAGTCTTTTGCCTTATAGTGCACGTACCTGGTAATCCCCTTTTACAGTTGTATAGTTAAAATTTGTCACAAAATGTTCTGCCAATCTGCTAATCATGCCTATGCCGAAACCAAACACTGATAATACCGCCCAATTTCACCAACCTTTTGTTTATTCAATGCTCTAGAAAGGATAATTTTGGACAGAATGAGGTACAGGTTATAAGATAAATTATCTCACAGACTGTATGTATTTCTACCGGGATGTAGCACACAATACTGCTTTGCTCTAAACAAGAGAAACACACTATTTTTCTTAAAACCTTGTCAACTTTTGACATTCCAAACCGAACTAAGCTTTGGCATAGGGTAATTGGTTAATTATTGAGCTGGATTAGAATGTATCTTTCTAATTGATCCGCGAGTCTTGTTCAGGGGAGTGAGAAGTGGCATGCCACAGGGAGGTGTTCTCAGCCCTATGCTATTCAATGTCCTCATGCACAAGCTGGTGGCAGATATTCTACTTAGGGATGGTAAATCCATTATATGTTATGCTGATGACAAAGAACATCATCACAAGAGAGAATGCAAATAATTCTTGATGAACTCACAACAAGGGCTGATTAGTCATCTCTGCTGAGAAAACAATGTCTCTTGACCCACGTATCAGATACCTACAACTTTCGTTTCTTTAAAATAGAGACTGGGAGAGATTGAAACTGCTGAAAGTTCTTGCCAGAAAAAGACATGGGATCACTGCTCGCTGTACTGTTTTACTGTTTTTTATTATTATTATTATTTTTTTTTTTTTATAAGATCAGTTGTAGAGTATCATCAACTGAACTTGTTGCAATGTAAGGAATCAGAAATGAATATATTGGAAGTAAAGCAAAATGAAACTATGAGGATTATCATCGACACCCCGAGAACAGCAATGAAAGTGAACATGAGATCAGAACCAACCCTACCATCCATTTCTGATAGAGTAATATATTTGCATCTTGTATCTTATTTATATCCAAAAACAACTACAATATAAAATCACTCAAGCAGATTGGTTTAACCAAAAACACGCGTGCCCTCAGATACACAAGCTCTACATGAAATGGAAATGTGAACTGCATGAAGTCACATACCTTTTGCACGAGAGCACAACTTCAACATTAAATTTGTATGGATATCATCTCATATTGGTATACACAAGAACGACCACATAAACAAATTAGCGATCGAAGCCTGCAGCAAAGATACTGTAAACATAGATGTTAGAATGCCTCTTGCTAGGCTGCACACATTGAAAATTTCATCACTGCATATGTTGTTCCAGCATATGGAACAACTAGTAGGTGTGACGAACTCACAAAGGCCTGAAAGCTGTTGCATAAAGCACTACAATCAGTATAGAGATAGGTAGCCCTTCTATGGGTGGCACCGAAGTAAAATTAACAGTGTGACGTGGTTATTGCCAAAGTATGTTCAGTTTACAGAATGTGCTGTGCAAATGAATTTAGATGTAGACTATGTAACAAGGAAAATTAGCAAACACATGATCCTTATATCTATGAATAACATGTGATACAGCCTTTCAGACC